CTGCTAAGAGCAGGTTGGGCAAGTGTGGGGAAGTAAGCCCTGAGCCGATTTTTTCTGAAGCCATTTATTTGTCTGTCTCTCATCCTAAGTTTGTGAGGAGATAATACCACTGCCGACCCAGTCCTGAACCCCTTCCTCTGTCTCCATGTGACCCATCCCCCTGGACCCTGTACAAGTGGCTGTGGTCCTAGAGATGATCAGGTGCCATCAGGACATGTTCAGAACATGACTCCTCTCCCACCCCACTTCATGGCTTGACTGAAGTCCTTTGCAGTGGCTTCTGGTTTTAAGAGTTTGCACAGCTTTTGCTCTGGAGTTCCCTCCACTGCAGAGGTGGGAGGGGAGGTGAAGACCCATCAGGCCCGGAATCCAGGAGCCTTACGTCCCAGGGGTTTTGATCCAGACCGTCAAGATGCCTTCAGCACAGTCCCGAGGTCCTGAATGATCTGCATTATGGATTGAATATTTGTGTTTCCTCCGAATTCATATGTTGATGCCCTGCCCCCCAAGTGTGATGATATTTGGAGGTGGCGCCTTTGGGAGGTGATTAGGTTTAGAGGGAATTAGCATCCTAATGAGAGGAGGAAGAGGCCAGAGCTCTCCCTGCCCTGTGCGGACACAGTGAGAAGGCAGCCACCTGCAAGCCAGGAAGGGAGCCCTCACCAGACGCCGAATCTGCCAGCACTTTGATCTTGGACGCCCAGCTTCCAGAATTGTGAAAAATAAATGTCCGTTGGTTAAGCCACTCAGCCTGTGGCATCTTGTTACGGCAGCCAGAGCTGACTGAGACGATGTGTAAAGTGGGAAAAAGAACTCCTGCTTCCAGGTGCCATATACTGAGGTCACTTGATGCCCCACGGGCTGCCTCAGGCCACACCCAAACTTCATGCCCCACCTCCTTTCCCCGGGGTGGTTGGGGCGGAAATCTCCACATCTGTGCAGACTTGACAATGCCCTTTCCCTGTACTTAGCATCTGTAAAGTGCTTGGGACAGCGTTTGGCCCATTGTGAGCGCCATTGGTGGCGGTGCTGTTGCTGCTGCTGGCGGTGACTGTTCTCCCCATCACAGTGGGTCCAGGAGGTCAGAGGCCAGCTTTGGTGCCCCCATGTAACAGACAGGAGGCCAGGATCCAGGGGAGTCAGCGGTGTCAGGGCTAGGATTCAACCTCCATTCACTCATTCAGTCAACATCGTGTCATTTGGGTGTCAGGCATCATACAGAGTTCTGGGGATCCATGTTCTGAACAAAATGGGTATGATCCCTGACCCCGTGGACCTTACAATCTAGTCAGAGAGACAGGCACAACACTTGTACAATTGCAAACTGAAACAGTTCCTTTGCAGGAAAGGCCCTCAACCTGCACCCAGGTGGAAGGGGGTCATCTCTGTGAGCATAAAACGTGGTGAGAGCTGAAACATGGAAGACAGGGACGGGCTGAGTGGTTCAAGAATTCTCAGCCTTCAGTGGGCATCAGAGTCCCCTGGGTGGCTGGTTAGAGCTCAGAGTGCTGGACCCCACCCCCAGAGTGTCTGATTCAGCAGGTCTGGGGTGGGGCCTGAGCATTTGATTTCTAACAAGGTCCCAGATGAGGTGATGCTGCTGTTCTCAGGACTCCACTATGAGAAGCACTGACCTGGCTCAAAGGGGATTGGAGGAGAGTGTTTTGAGCTGAGTGAACAGCATGTGCAAAGGCCCTGGGGTCCAGAAGGCTCTGTGAGGCCAGTGTGGGTGGAGTCCAGTGGGTACAGGGATGGCAGAGGTGGTAGATGAGTCTGAAGATGTCTAAAGGGGCCAGATTGTGCAGCACAACCACCTCAAGTTTGTTTTTTAGCCTAAAAGTGATGGGACGCTATTGGGGGCTTAAAAACAGATCAGTGCTATGGGAAGCCAGTTAGACAGCCTTGGGCTTACAAATGTCCTGATGAGTTTTTTGTCAACTGCCTGGTTGCTGCTACCAGAAAAATGGACTATGTCCCACACCCCTACTCTTTGCCCACTGAGGAGGAAGCTGTTATTGCTCTTGTTGGCTACAAGGTGAAGATTTTTCTCAGGGGCTGGGCTTACAGAGAAGACCTGGCCTGTCTCTTTTAGGATCTCTCTCTCTCTCTCTCTTCTTTTTTTTTTGCTGTGCTATTTGGCATTTATCCCAAAAAGTAGCAAATTTAAGACCAGAGGCTGTAAAATGTGGGCTTTTAAAGACATCCAAACCACTGCAAGAATCAGCACGAGTTGACATTCAGAGTTTATTTCTAAAAATGGAGTGTTTGAGGAGGGATGAAAGTCAGTGTTCCTGATGCTGGGGGATGGGGGTCACTTGCATGTGTTTCTCACCACGCGTGGGAGGAGACTGGGCATAGCATGATGGTTATGAATGGAGTTCCGGAGCCAGTCTTCCTGGATACAAATCCCAGCTCTGCCACTTACTCATCTGGTCTCCTGGGGAAACCACCTCTCTGTGCCTCAGCTTTCCCCATCTGTAAAGTGGGGATAATAATAGTAACTACCTCATAGGGATGTCCTGGGGATTTGATGAGTTAACATAAGGTATGAGACTTTCATATCATCCAGACCCAAATCAAGGGGATCATACTTGCATCACGTGGGTAGACATCAAAACCCTAAAGTCAAATTATTAAAGGAGGCAGGAGGAAAGAAGATGGTCCCCGCAGCAGAGATAATGGCCAGGGCAGCACCAGAAGGCCTTGCTTCTGGAGTGCGCGCTTATGTGCACATTTCTCCAACCTGCTCAGAGAGCTAAAGCCCCCAGCCAGGAGCCCCGGAGCTAGATGTGGTGAAAATAGGGAGGTGAGGCCACCTGGTCTGACTGCAGCCCTCGCTCACTGCCAAGGCAGGGAGGCGGGCGGGGCTGAGGGAGATGCTGGGTGAGGAAAAGAAATGCAGTGCTGGGCACGCTGGTTCCACAGTCCCCCTAGGACGCATGCTCAGGCTGTGCACTGCCACAAGATCCAGGAGAGAAACAGAAAAAAAAATTGAGAAATTGAGAGAGAGAAGGAGGAAAAGAAAGACAACAAGGGGGGGGATAGAAACAGACAGAGAGATGGGGAGAGGGCGAGAGACAGGAAGTAAGAGACACAGAGAGCCAGAGAGACACACAGAGGCCAAGAGATTTGGGGACACACGCAGATCGAAGCCGAGACACACAGAGACTGAAAGGAGAGAGACCCAGAGAGGTGGTGAAAGTGAGAGACACAGCAACAGGAAAAGGAGAGAGATTCAGAGAAACAGAAGCAGCGGGGAGAGAGCCTGGAGGCCATAGATGCTGGTGAGGCTCTCAGGGGCTCAGGGGGAGCAGGCAGCCCCCAGAGCTGGGGGTGGTGACTGCCCCCCAACCCTCCAGCCAAGGGACAAGGCTGCACCATCGTGGCTCCCCTGGAATCAAAGTGGAGGGTGCCAACATCCTAGAAAATCCTTAGGGCCCCGAGGACCAACCCCCCTCCCTCTGCTATGCTGGCATCAAGCTGAGAAGCACGTGCAGCCCAGCCTGGCCCACTGCCCCCACCTCCAGCTTCCACCCCAACTCAGGGGCTCAAAGACCCCTAACATCAGCCCCTACGCATGGAGTAAAAGCCCGCAGAGCACACAGTCTCCATCTCCGAAAACCCCTCCTTAGCGGTGGGGTGAGCAGCCGAGAGAGACCGGGGGGGCCAGCGTCGTCAGGGAGCTTGTTGGCCCGGGAGCTGTCGCTGTTCAGATGTGCCATGAGCAATTGCCACTCGGCACGCCTTCCCCTGGCAAATTATTCTGCTGGAGTTTCTTCCAGCGTTCGGAGCTGCGCTGCTGTAAATGCCAGAAATCATGTACATTAAGCCCAGAGTGACGGCAGGCTTATGGATGGACTTACCTTCAAACAGAGGCCGCCGGAGCGCTCGGCGTGGGGGGCGGCATTTTATAGATGCTGCTCTCCGCTTGTCGAGGCCTTAAGCGGTCAAGTTGGCCACGTAATCAATTTCTCATGTAGGCTTGGCTGGGGGCCACATGCTCCCAGGCGGGGATGTGGGACGCAGTCCCTCAACCCATGGCCTGCCTCCCGCTGAAGACCTTCCCCTGACCCCTGTCCTGAAAGTGATGCGTCCCTGTCCACCTGCGGTGGCAGGGGACTGGCCAGGGGGGGTGACACCCTGCCAACTCAGTCTAACGCAGAATCCCAGAGCCTGCCTCTCCTCCTCAGAGCCCCTCGTGAGGACAGCAGGCATCCTCAATGCTAACTCGCCATTCTGGGCCGGGCCGCACTCTGAGCCCCTCCCCTTCCCCAAAGCGGGGTCTGAGCTCTCCACAGGGTTGTCTGACCTCAGCTCCTATTGTCCCATGATCCACTGTTTCCCTCTCTGATCTGGGACGCCTGGGTCACTGGCTTTGCCATCTCTCCTGCATGGCTGTCACTCAACCCCTCTCCTCTGTCACTCAGCTTCTCCGGCCCCTTGGGACCCCTCCCCTCACTGCCTTCCATCAGCCCTGACCTCCTGGGACGCCCGCTTCAGGCAAGGCTCCATCCAGCACTCCACTGAGCCATCCGCTCTGGCAGCTCGGTGCCCAAGGCGTCAGTATCAGGGACACAGTCGGTCCAGAGCCCCTGCCCACCTGTAAGCTGGGAATGCTAGTAGGACTTCCCTCACCAGACATTGCCAGGGTTAAATGAATTCTTATACATACAGAGGGTTCAGAGCAGGACTCGGGCATAGCGAGTGTTATCTAAGTGCCACCTATTATTATTATTGCTATTGTTTTTGGATTCTAGGTTATTAGCACTGAGAGATGTGGTTCCATGTATTCTCACCACACAGCTGTCAGGAGAGAAATTTAGCACCCCTGACACCATCCTGTCTTAGGCATCACCACCCCCAATGTGCATGCCGACACACACGTGCACGCATGCACACGCATCCACCTACACACTCGGTAATCAGCGCTGTTTGCCACAGGCCACACCACAGTAATGTATTAGCGCGCGAGGAACAAGCCGCTTTATCTTCCTCTCCAGGCAGAAGCACGTGTGTGGAAGATGGATGGAGAGCGTCTGCCTGCATCCACAGAGGAAAACACATCCCGGCTGGCTCCGCAGCCCCTAGAGAAACAGGGCAGAGGCCGCCCCTGGGGGCCGGATGCTGCGAGTCCTGGGGGCTTGGAGGCCAGGTCTCTCCTAATAGCATGCCCAGTCAGCCGGCACTTGCCCGCTTCCAAAGCCCCCTCCTATCTGCCGAAGGCTTTCTGCTGTGGACACGGTCTCCAAGGGGACGATGTGCTGCCTGTGGGGCAGAGGGGCAGGGATGGGAGTGAGGCACACAATGAAAGACTTACAGGGACTTTCCTTCTAGAAGCAAGGGAGCCTTTTCTTGGACTCCTGTCTCACGGCTGATCTGACCCCAAGGTGGCTCTGCCGGACCAAGGCTTTTCCCGGGTGAGATCATGCAACAGGGCCATGCTGTCCATGCACAGCGGACAAGGCCTCGGGCCTCTCACCCCGTCAGACTTCCACAGCGGGCTCTTCCAGGCGCTGGCGATTCTTGCAAACATAGATGAATGTCACGAAAGGGAAAACTTTTCGAAAGAAAGGAATCAATCTCATTTGGAAAGTATATTTAGCAAAAGGAAAGCAAACACTTCAGGATGGATTAACTTTCCAGTTTTACACTCATTTATCAAATATTTCTGGAGTGACAAGTACAGGCGAGGCACTGCCGTTGGCTTGGGGCCCCTGTCCCAACAGAATTCAAGGGCTTTTCCCGGCTGGTAGGCAATTTATTGGAAAGTGACAGTCTTGGAAACCATGCCTCACAGCCCTCCAACTTAAGGGAACCTAAATGCATAAGGGCCCCAGCTGCCCAGCTCTGGAATCCATCCCAGCATTTGGGCTGAGGCTACACCTCCCACCGGCCGCCCCAGCCAATGACCGAGCCAGGCGCCGCGCTCAGGAGAAACAGGACGCCTCTGACAGCTGACTTGGGTTTGAGGACAGCCTGCCGGCCTGGCTGAACTTTCCAGAGTCTGCTGGACAGTCTGGGATGCTCCCGCCCACCTCCCTGCCCTCTCGCCTTCACTCAGGTCAGACCGCATCACAGCCTTTCTGTTCTCCCATCCTTTGCCATTTCCCTCCCTATTTCTCTCACAGGCATTTCCCCTAATAAAAATCCTGGCACATTTAATTGTCTCCTGACACCTGCTTCTTGGAGGACCACTACTGCAGACGTATTGCCGCGTCCTCTGCCTCCATCTTCTGCACGGGCTTCCCAGACAGGACCCCCCCCCACCTCCCCACATCGCGACTCTAGCTGATGTGAAGCCCTTGCAGACACCTGAATTGGCTCATTGCTTAGGAGTCGCTTTATAATTTGGCATCTCCCCAGTAGATTCTAAGCTGTGTAAGAACTTACAATATCCTTAAGGCTCCTCACTTAGATGTTTCTCAGAGGTGTTGCTGACACATCGCAGGGAGGTCCTTGCCATCAAGCTCTTATGTCATATTTCAAGATACCTCTGTGATTTAGTAATAAAATTCACAATTACTATTGCACAATGAGTCCACAGCCCGTTGCTAAGTTGTTTACATGCATTACCTCACTTAATGCCTAACCGTCTCGGCACACACCCCCATCACCCGCCCACCCATCCATGCAGAGGACGTCCTTTCTTCCAAACACAGTTCTATGGCTTACTCTCACTTGGCAGCCCCTCCTCCTCTGCGAATCCAAATCAAGACATTTGCAGGCAGAACACAAAGATCTGATCTTACAAAGTGTGAGCATTTTCCAAGAGACAACTGATACCCAGGTTGAGAAATCCCAGGCACACGGCTTAGTAACAAAGTCCAGCTTTGCCGAGGCTTACAGACGATATAATCAACTCCTCTTTTTAATCCTACCCTGTTTGACAGCACACCGCACCTCATACCACCACTGGCCATTTCTTTCCTTCTGGTGTCTTGGCTTCTTGGTACTTGAAAAACCAGGCCTCTGGGCTCACATCCAGGACACATCCCAGGCATCCCCCAACCCTTTGAGCTTGATCCATCCTCCCTGGCCCCCAACTTTGAGAAATGTTCTCCTGTTCACTCTGGGATGCACGTCTACATACTCAACAGAAAGCCACGGGCTGGCTGGTCGGGAGACCTCACACAAGCTACTTGGCACCTGCGAGCCTCAATTCCCTCGTCTGTAAAACAGGGTCATTGTGAGGATTAAAGGAGAGAATGAATTTGAAAATTACTATAAATCCTTACTGCTCAAAGTGTGGTCCTCAGACCAGCAGCAACAGCATCTGCAAGCGTGTTAGAAACACAGATGCTCGGACCCCGCCCAGACCCACCCAATCAGAGCCCCCGGGCTCACAGCACCATTCTCCTTCCAGGTGATTCGGGTGCACACCGACAAGCCTTGTTATGACAAGACTTGCTCTCCGAGTTGTGTATCCTTATTTCCCCTTCCTGGGAAACACCCTAGGTTTTGGAGCTGATACCTCTGCTTTTGCAGTTTCTCCTGCTCCTCCCGGCCATCCTTCGTCCCTGTCACTTCCCTCCCTCCTCTTCCTCTCCCGGCCCCTTCAGGGCTGAGCTCTCCTCTCCACCCTGTTCCATCACTTCCTCTCCTTTGGTCAATTACACAGTCAGCACTCCCCAAACCCACCATTTCTACTGCCTCAGCAAAAAGGGGAACGCAGCGGGAGACTTGGCAATATATGTACACTCGGAGGGGGCCGCTCATCACAGCTTCATGGCCTGCAGGGCGTGGAGAAAGGGCTGGAAATGCACGGAGGGGCCCAACCAGAGAAACAATCTGGGGCCAGCCCGATGCATCCATTCACCTCTGATTCCAGGCCACGCCGAGGGGGCAAACTGCTCCCATTTCATGTACCTGACGTGTAATCTCTTTTGTGTAAGTACAGTGATGCTGTCTGTGTATAAGTTAAATGACGACAGCAGTTCATTATTTGTGGGTAAACAAGGGATGCCTCTTTGCCCCAGGAGAGACTGCAAGACACCCAGTTAAGGAACCACAAGATCAAAGACAGAAGAAGGGGGAAAATGAGAGGAAAAGTCATTCTTCTCCCAGGAGCTTCTTGGGAAAGAGGGGCGAGCTGATCGGCCTTCAAGGAGACCTCAAGCAAGGCCAAAAGACCCTTGGAGCAAGAGCAGACTGTCCTCAGGAATCTGAACTGAGATGTGGAGATGAGGGATGATGTCCAAAGACTAGCAGGAGTGCCCCCAAATGCCAGACAGTCCTCCCAGGGGTCTGCACTACCGGGAGTAGCTTTGTGATGGGCACACATTCCAGGGCCTACTAGTCGTTGCAGATAACCATCTTCTTCTCCCCTAGACATACAACCTCCAATATTTAGCGAGACCCATACCCCACTCCCTGAATAAAGACCACACACTCCCCAGCCTCGGTTTGCAGCCAGGTGTGGCCAAGTGACCAAGTCTGGCCAACAGGATATAAGCAGAAGCAACTTCGGGAACGTGTTCTAGAAGAGAAGTGAGTGCACCCCTCTTGGCCCTCTCCTTTTTGCCCCCTAGAACAGGGAGGTGATGGGGAGCTCGGGCAGCCATCTTGAACCACGAGGTAACATTGGGACTGGAAGCCATGCGGGGCAGAGCAACAAGATCAAAGGAGCCTGAGTCACTTACATCTTACAGCCCTGATGCCAACCATCTTACCAGCCTGGGACTGCCAACCTCTGGGCTTTTAGATGAGAAATCTATTTCTGGCGTTTTGAGGTCATTGCTATTTGGGAGGGTTTGTCATTCACAGATGACCAAAATCGAAATGTAAAAGGTACGTATGCAGCATGGCGTCTTAGATCAGGTTCTCCAGGACGCACGCAGATTTTGAGATGGAAATTTACAAGCAGTAGGTTTACTGGGATATGGTCTCAAGGTCAACACTCGAGTTGGAGTGATGAGCAAATTGGGCAGAGAAGTTGAATGGCAACGGGGTCACCGTAGTGGCCTTGGTGGATCCCACAGGGACCTCTGGTGTGAAGAAGGCCCTTCCAAGTTCTTCTGAACTGAGACAGGACGGCTGAGGCTTTGGACTTCTGTGGGCTTTGGTTTTCTCATCTGTAAAATGGGTATGTTACTGATCTGGCACTTGTAGTGAGGATAGGGAAAAGTGGGTGTGCAGGGTCTAGCTCACAAGTGAACAACCACAAGAAGCAGCCTGGGGAAGACTTCAGAACTTTGTCCGTGTCCACTGGGGGCCCACGTCTGTGTCTCGACTAAGTGACCTGTCTGTGCATCATAGAAGACAAGCAGGCAACTGTCGTTCTCCAGAACCTTCTCTAACACTGCCACCTTCGCCAGTGGGAGAACTCACGATCTCTTCCTTCATGTTCCCATGGGACTCTAAGCACCATCGTGACTCTTACCACATTGAACGGGGCTGTTTTCCTGGGGCTCTGAGCTCTCCGCTCACCTCTGTATCTCCAACTCCCAGCTCAGTGCAAGGCAGGCAGAAAAGGTCCAATGTACGATGGTTAAATCAATGAGCTTCACTGAAGAGGCCAAATCCCCATGATGTCAAGGAGACAAAGACGATTCCCCTGGAGCCAGGAGACACGGCTTTGAGTCTCTGTCTCACCGTCTCTTACTTACAGCCTCCCCGAGCCTTGACCGGAATCATAACAACAAACAGGGCTATTGTGATGATGAAATGATCTCTTAGTTTAAAAACTGCAGAACGTGATGTAGCTGTTATACTGCTGGAGATGGGATGGGGGAGGTTTTCATCAGTTGAATCTAAATCTGTGATTCTGAGGGATTGTTTGTAGCACATACACTCAGACTGCAGAGTCCTGCAAAATGAGGCAGCCACCAAAGCGGAGGACCAGGGACAATTGGCAGCATCCCAAGGGTAGCCCTAACTCCAGCCTCCATTGCCTGAAAATGCAAACTTTGGCCACACAGGCCACCGTGGGCCCAGCCCTAAAAGGACGGATAGATGCAGCGGGCCGCCAAGACACAGCAGTTATATGTGGGATCAGAGCTGCTTCACATCCCGCCATAATGACGAGGGGGTCCCTACATAATGCACACAGTACTCAGGGACAGGCCAGGCTCCCCCAGAAGATGGCTGTGAGGGACAGTAAGTAACCCAGGCTCTAGCTCTTTCAAAGCAGGCACGGGTGAGGGGCCCACCATAAATCTCAAGGGAAGTTGTGATGTCTGTCTGGCAGGAAGAAGAATTTAGATCCTAAGTGGAAGCACTGGAGGCCATGGGAGGAACTCCAAGCACCCTGGACCAAGACAACAAGTGATGTATCAGCCACACTTTTAAAGACTCTGTTGGCCTGTGTTTAGGAGCAAACTGACCTGGCAGCAAATATTGCAGCTGCAACCAATGAACTGTATTACCTGGGTCAAGCGTATAGCCTTTCCCTGCCTCGGTTTGCTGATCTGCGAAATGGGGGCGGTCATAATTCCCACTTCAGGTTGTCAGAAGGACTGGGCTAGCACAGGTAAGGCGCTGAGTGCCTGGCATGTCATGACTGTGCCCAGGGGCTGAGGACTGAGAGGAGGCTGGCAGGGGCGGGGGGCCCTCTGCAATCCCGTCAGTAGGGATCACTGCAGGCTACTTGTACACGAGAGATGGGGTCCCCCTCAGGAGAGGCTCAGTCCAGGGAGAGAGAGGGCTCTCCACCTGAAAATCCACGTAACGTGGCAAAGCTGAATGTGGTCAGAGCCCAGTGAGGGGTAAGGGAGGCGAGGATCGAGACCTGCAAACTGAAAGAGGTCTCTCAGGGTGGAGGTAGGCAGGACTCTTTTGGTTGTAAGGCAGAGAAATGCCACTCAACCTGCTCGGTGGGGGGAAAAAAATGGAAAGTATTGGCTCCAGAAACGAACACATTAAAAGGTGGCTGGTTTCAGGTATGGCTGACTCCGGGCACTTATCCCAAGTGGTGACAAGATGGTCACCAGCAGCCTCAGACTTACATTTTCTTAACAGAGCAACTGTGACAGAGAGGATGCCCTTCCCCAACAGTTCCAGGAAAATTCCCAGGTCTGCCACTGCCTGGCTAGAATTGGCCAGCTTGGGCCTTGGCCCACCGCAGGGTCCCGGGAACATGGCTGACTCCACACAACTTATGGGGAAGATGGGGCAAGAGGCCTGACTGGTCAGGCAGAATAACAGCTCTTGCCTTCTAAAGGCTTCTCTAAGGAGGTGAGACTTGAGCCCACCCCGCCCCCTCTCACTCTGGTTTAAATAGTTACCAGCATTTGTTCAAAGACACGAGTTGCAAAGGGCTGGCACCTATGCTGTTTAATCTCTTAACTCAGTCAAATCAATTCTAGGCAGGGCAAACCTGACCACACGAAGGTCCAGAGGTGGGGTGGCCCACAGCACGGGAGATCAATCTCGCAGCTGTGTGTAGGGGGTACTGAGGGTCCGGAGCCTGATGGGGCTGGCAGTTGGCGGGGGGAGGGGTATCCTTTTCAGCTGGAGGAGAAGGGGCTCATTCCTGCCTTTTTTCAGTTCATCAGTAAAGTCCCGGGGTGGCGTGGCAGGAGGGGCAGGGAGAGGGAGGAGGTGTGGGAACAGGATGACGACCTGCTCGGATTTGGAAGCCAGCTTTGAAAGAGAGGGCAGGCGAGTCACACATGATTCTCAAGTGTGGGCTGAAAAAAGAGTGACAGGCTTCTCTGCAGAAATGAGGGACGCTGTGGAGGGGAAGCCGGGGGTGGGGGCTGATTTGATTTGTTTGACTTGAAGGTGTCACAAGAGCATCCAGGTGAAAGGGGCTGCGGGCTGAGGCCAGAGTTGTGGATTTCAGGGTCCTGAAGTCACCATTGAGCCTGGCTCCGGGGGGAAGTTCGAGCAGAGAGGGAAGCAGGCAGGCTGAGAAGTGGGCCTTGGGAGATGCCCACATTGAGGGGGTCAGACAAGGAACATGGCTGCAAAGAAGCCAGTGGATGCTCAGCAAAAGTGAGGAGAGGCAGACCAGAGGGGGAGGGTGCTGGCAGGGCTGGGGGCGGGGGACGCAAGTGGGGAGGGCTATTGATGTTGAGCGAACAGTCTGTCAATCTCAGTGGTCCCAGGGCCTTAGAACGAGGCAGCTGGTGGGCTGCCTGCTCTCGCAAGGGCTGGTGGACCATGGCTTATGCCACTTCAACAAGCACATCGTTAACAGAATTTGTACTGGCCTAGAGAAGGGGGCAGAAGG